CACTGGAGAATCGGACTCACCTGGCCTTTCCGAAGTGTCCCCCGAAGACCTGCGGCGGGTTAGGCTCGGGAATGGGGCTGAGGTGCTCCTCACTCTCCAGTTACCAACTCAGGAGAGCCACATCAGGGCGCGAATTCCAGGAACGCGCGCCGGAGGAAACCCAGGGCTTCTCTTGGGGGAGGACCAGAGCGGTCTGGTTTTTGGCCCCCAATTCTTCCTAGTTTCTGGTCCCAACGCCCACCGGCCCCTGCCCTCGAACTGGAATGATCCTCACAGATCCAAGTCTCGGGCAGTCCGTCCCTTGTTTCTTAGTCTCCTGGCAGAGCCTACCCCCAGGAAATGACTCCTTCTGGTGCCACTGGAAGGCAGATTAACAAGTGGCACGAGCCCTGATGTTCAGATGAAAGGGGCTGAGGAGCCACGCTGAGCAGCACCACCACCTTCAGAACCGCCAGCCTCCGCCCACAGCCGGCCCACAGCCGCTCACTCCTCCAAGTAACTTGTAGCTCCGGCCTCCTGGGCGGTGCTGCCTGGCAAGTCCTCCTTCCTGCCAGCTGGTCCTCGGAGTTGGGCAGGTGGACAGAGGAACCTCTGGGAGGCCACCCCCTGACTACAGCCAAAGGGCAAGAGTGGAGGGACTGCCTGCAGGCCCTGAGGTTTCCACCATAACTCTGAGCCAGGGGGAGTCCTGGAGGGAAGAAACACTGTTAGGCTGTCTGATCTAGAGTGTAAATCGGTGCGACAGAAGCTTTTGTTCTGGGTTAAAACTTGGCATTTGAAAAGTGGAGACCAGAAAAGCAGTGGAGATAATTCAGAAAAGCCGCCCAGTTTGGTTTCAGTAACAATTGGGTCTTTGCTGGTATACAAAAAGGCCCCATCCTCTCTCTCTGGCCAAACCACATTTCCCAGCTCCTTTCCACTAGGAAAATAGCTGTGGCCTTGGAGATGCTGGAGATTGGTGGCAAGCCAGATTACAGTTACCTTGGGGTGGGCAGGGCTGGTGCCCTGCTGCAGCTGCCAGGGAGGGAAAAGATGCACTACCTCCTCTGATTATGGATTTTATTTTTTTAGTACTAGAAATCAAACCCAGGGCCTCAAGCACACTAGCCAAGTCAAATGCTCTACCATGAGCTACATCCCCAGCCCTCTAGTCTTGATTAGACCCTGGTCCCATTTAAGTGGGGATTAACTGATATGCAGATGTTCTCTCCCATTCTTTTTATGCTTTAGATGGTCCAATTTGCCTTCATATACATTTCCCCACTCTACCCTCATGACCACCCTGTAAAAACTGGTAATGGCTGAGCATGACAGTGTACACTTGTAATCCCAGCAATTCAGGAGGCTGAGGCAGGAGGATCCCAAGTTCAAGACCAGCCTCAGCAACTTAAGGAGGCCCTGTCTCAAAAAACAACAACAACAAATAAAAACAAATAAACCAAAAATACCTGCAGATGCAGTGCTCAGTACTAGAGCACCTGGGTTCAATTGGGGGGGGGCGCGGTGGGGGTGTTAAATTAAATCAGATCTTGGTATTCCCATTTCTGTCTTCCAACAAGTCAGCATGTGCCCTGACAATGTCCACTTCCTGCTTTTCCTTGCATTTAAGCCTCACCACCAGCCTCTAGGTGCAAGGGTTACCAGTCAGAGACCTGAGCTCCCTGGCTCTACCTCCAAGGTGGCCCCAGTGGAAAGTTTCAAAAGGTGGTTTGGTTTCACTGGCAGGGACAGTCTCCTTCTGTACCTCAATGGCAGGCATCAGGGTCCCCTATGCCAGGGATGTGCGCAGAAAGAAGCCTCCAGTAACAGACCCATGAGCCCCTCCTTCACAAAGACTCCTCAAAAACAAGGCTCCAGAAGGGCCAGGGGCACAGGCCTATAATCCTGATGAGAGGGGAGGATGGAAAGTTCAAGGCCAGCCTGGGCAATTTGGAGAGACCCTGTATCAAAATAAAATACAAAGGGCTGGGGATGTAGTTCAGTGGTAGAGCATTTGCCTAGCATATGCAAGGCCCCGAGTTTGATCTCCAGGAGGTATAAATAAGTAAAATATAAATACCAGGCTCCAGTCCCCCCTTCCACCTCCCTGCATTTCCTGCTGTATTCTGTTCATTCCCGGCACTGACCTTTTCTGTAGGTGGGTGGGCAGAGGATAAAGTTTCTTTGTATGACTATTTATTCATGATTCATGCCTTTGAATAAAAGAACAACTGGTAGAAAACTAAGGATACTTGGGTCTTTCATTAAGAAAAAGTACTGCCAGGAGTGGTGGTTACATTCCTGTAATTCCAGCTACTTGGGAGGCTGAGGCAGGAGGATTGCAAGTTCCAGGCTAGCCTGGACATTTCAGCAAGACCTGGACTCAAAGTAAATAAAAATTAAAGGCAGCTGGGTGTGTAGTTCAGTGGTGAGCACTCCCTGAAAATAAAAATTACTAAAATGGGGGTGGGGTCAGTCATCTGTCACATACCTGTCTAGTCTCCCTCGGACTGGCCTGGTGTCTGCTATGGAAGGCATACACCCTTCAGGTCCTAAGCCCTGACAGACCCTCCTCCTACTTGCCCCCATTTGCTCTTGTGGCCAAGTAAGGGAAATACAAAGATGTGCTAAATGTCAGCTGAGGCTCTCCAAAGATCTCTGGCAGCTCTGGCCAGTCTCTAGAGATGGCCCAGGAGTCTCACCTGAAAAGCAAATTCCCTTCCCCCATCCCCCACCACTGGTCGTGAACCCTGGTGCCCTTGACTTGAGCTACTCACTTGCTACTCCCCTGAGGCATCTCTCCAGGAGGAAGGACGAGGGTCAACCCACAGATGGGAAGTGAAAAAGCTTGGGTCAGCCACCCTTCAGGGACCCTGGGAGTGGAGACATGGAAAAGAGACTTCCTCCCTCTACTTCCTCTAAAAGGAGGGTTATCAAAGCCATCCACCTGGGAAGCCTTTCCCTTTCCAGCCCCTCCCTGCCACCATCACCAAAAGGAAGCAGGAAAACATCCGTCATCACTGCTTTTCCAGTGGCTTCTACCAGGATATCCCCCGCCTTTTCCCAGGGGCTTCAAAGACCTGAAGGGCAAGTGGTAAAATTGCCAGCATCATTATAGAATTCGTGGCCTTCAGGAGGCTAGGATCTCTAACTGATCCCAGCACATTTGGGGACATCTACTCAGCTTCCAGCCAGTCCCAGCAAGGGCCCATTACAGGGCCCAGGGGATAGCATCCGGCCTTGGGTGACCTCCAGTGCACACCTCTCCTCAGGTTACAGCCAGGTATCTGGAGGGACTGAGTTGTCACCAACACCTCCTTTCCCCTTGATATCTATTTCCCTCTTGGTGATGAGTAGGTTTAGGGAGCAGGGAGCCAGGGCTGGGGAGAAGGGCTCCATCTATCTAAGCTGACGGACAGACCCTCCCTTTCCCCAAGCCAGGTAGGGGTAGCTTCAAGAACTGGAAACTCCCATTTCAGCCACTCGGGACTCCCTACCTGTCTCTGCTATTGGCAGTAAGAACAAAGAAGGGAAATTTCAAAGGTGATTTCCAGGTTTCCAGAGCACGCCAAGTAACTGAAGATCCACTGTCAGGATGTGCAGTGTCAGCAGTAGAGGCAGTCTGGAGGGAGGCCCTGCCCTCTTACCCAAAGACCTGGGCGGGCTGCTGCTGGGTAGCCCCTGGGCTGCCAGGGCCCATGCAGCATCTGTTGCAGCCAGAGAGAAACCAGAACTCATGCGGCCCAGGCATCCAAGTCACCCTGGCTCTGGAAGGGTTTCTTCCACCTCACTTGGCAAATACTTTGAAGCAGAAAAGATGTCCTGTGTGGCACCTGGCACTGTACTACGTCTGTGCCCTCTGAATAATAGATCCCCCAGCTCCGGGCACTCTGGGGACCCCAAGAGGGAAGCAGCTATGTCTGAAACAGGCCCAGGAAGGGATGTGTCCCACTTTGGGTCTGCACACGGAGCCACTGAAGTTCCTCTATTTATTTACTTTGGTGTGTGTGGGGGGTCCTGTCTTTTGAGTTGAGTGGTCACAGAGGTAATTCTCTGCTACCTCCTGACTACCTCTTGTATCTTCTGCAAAATCTCATCCCAACCCAGGAATCAGGAGGGCCAGCCATGGATTGCCAGTATTAGGGAGTGGACAGACAAGAGAAAATGGATACTCAGGGATCTGCGGGGGCAGAGAGGGCCCACTCAACTCTCAAGGGGTGCAGGTCAAAGATATCCAGTACCCCACTAAGGATCAGAACCCATGAAACTTATCTGGGGCAAGGCAAGGGAAAGCAAGAGCAGGATCTGGAACTGTCTTTTGGACCCGCCCCCACTCCTAAGTCTGGGAAGTTGATTTCAGAGCTAAACAATAAATTGAATTAAGCATAATTACAGCCCTGATACACCATCTCCCTCTATGTAGCCTCCCTGGCGGGGGCGGGAAGTAGTCCCAGACTGGATCCAAACAAATGTTCCTCATCCCAGCTCCCAGTTTCCATGGCTCTTGGGCTGTAGGGGTAACTGCTGCCCCCTGCACGTCTGCAGAAAGCCCTCAGGTGCAGGACTAAGGCCTGCACCCCCCCTTCCTGTCACACGACTGCTGGAGGTGAGAATTTGTAGCAGGGAAGCCACAGGCATCCGGAGGCTGGACATTGGGCATGTGCCCTTGGGATCAGATGGAAAGGAGCTTCCTAAGCCACTGATGCTGAAATAAACTTTAATGTCACAAAGGAACCTCACATTAGAGGCAAGGAGAGAGGGTGGAGAGAGGGGAAGACTCCTAGGAGGGCCCAGGAGGGCCCAGGAAATCAGAGCCATGAGGCAAAGGCCTTGGGGAGGAATTGCTGCTGGGAAGGGCTGGGAGCAGAAGGGTGGGCTGGGCAGGGAGTGGCCGAGCCTTGCGGGCAGCTGACCATGGTGGAGAGGGCTCCTGCTTCATCAGGCCTCTCACTCTGGGACCTCCTTTGGCCTCCATTCTTTGCCTCCTGCAGTTCCTGGAGTCCTGTTCACTTCCTGCTGGAGTCAAGAGCTCTGGGCTGCCCTGCCCTTGCTCCTTTAGATGTCTTTCCAGGGGCTAAAGTACTGGGCCTGTGGCAAGGAGAAAAACAGGCTGCAGTAACCTGGCCCAGGTGCTGCCCTCTCCTGAGACTCTCTGGATAAACAGCAAACACTCAATGTCTGCTCCAGGCCTCCTCTGAGCCATGCAATGCCCTCAAGGCTCACCGTCCAGACAAGGACACAGCAGTCAACACAATGTCACAAATGAAAGCACTGCTCGGGTCTTCTCTCCCTCCGAACGGCTGCAGGCCCAGGAGTGTGAACAGAGGTGGTCCTGCACCCTGGCTCTGCCAGGCCACCGCTCGCTCTTCCTTCCTTTCTGGACAAACACACTGCTTCCCACCAGAGACTAGTGTGGTCCAGTTCCTGGGGGACCCAGGGTGAGGTCTGCTCTCTAGCTTTCTCAGGGACTTGTGAAATCTGAGACACAAGCTACAGCCTGTGGCCAGCGTGTCAGTCCCAAGTCAGAGGTTATGGGGAAGCACAAGAGACAGAGGCGAGCTGGGTGTCAGGGAGCCCTGAGAGGAAGGTGTGGACAGGGATCTTTGGCCCAGCAGTCTCCAGCAAGGCCTGGGGACTCCTGGACAGCAGAGCCTCAAGCCAGCCTAGCAGGGTGCTGCTTGTTGGAGAAATGGAGGTCAGAGGGGAGGGTGCCAAGCAGAGGTTGCACAGGCTCCTGTATCAGGCTAAGCTGCCTCTGATATTTGCAGAACTGCCTACGTGACTGGATGAGCTCTCTCACCTGTCAGCGCCTCTGGTCAGTTTGCTCATCTGTAAAATGGGCTACCAACAACACCTGCCTCATGAGGGTTAGGTACGTGCATGCAAAAACAGGTCCTCAGGGGCTGGGGATATAGCTCAGTTGGTAGAGTGTGTGCCTCATATGCACAAGGCCCTGGATTCAGTCCCCAGCACCACACAACCACAACAAACAGGTCTTTAGGAAGTTTTAACTATGAACATTATTATCTAGAGGGTCTGTGACAATCTGGGGATTAAAGTTTACTGCTATTGAAAACAGAAGGGATCAGGTTAGCCCAGGATCACTCTTGTTTATAGAGTGGGAGGCCAGCCCCAGGTCTTCAGGGAAAGTGGACAGGGCGATGAGAGGTGGTACCACTGGTACCCCTTCAGGCACTACTCATGACAAACTGGTGCTGTCTCCCCAGGGCTGAGTTACTCTTCACTTTTTTTTTTTTTAAGAGATGCTTCAGATTGAACCTTGGGGTACTCTACCATTGAACTACATCCCTAGCCACCTACCCCCCCCCCCACTATTTTTTATTTTTGGTATTTTGAGACAGGGTCTCACTGAATTCCTGAGGCTGGCCTCTACCCGCCATCCTTCTGGGGGTTGAATCCAGGGCCTTGAGCACACTAAAGGAATGTTTCAGCAATGACACACACACACACACACACACACACAGGCACTGGATTCTTGATAAGAATGATGAGGGTCCCTCAGGGCATCTCCGCCCTCCCCCACCAACTGCCCTCTCCACCCTTGTCCTAGCCAGGAACTCAGCAGCTGCTGTGGAGTGGACATGTGGCTAGTTAGCTCTGGCCAGCCCAGTCTGACCACTTCCCTCCCATCCTAGGTCTGGGGGCTGGAGTGGGCACCACCTGGGGCTGACAGTGGGCCAGTAGCTCCTGCCAACGGATGTAGGTCTGGGTGGCCAGGTCCTTGAGCTTGGTCCGGTGCATGGCCTGGGGGCTCTCCCGGATATGGGTGCTGATGTGGCGGTCCAACTGCGTGCAGAGCAGCTGCAGCTCACCCTGTGGAGGCGGATACATGGGGGAGGGGCAGGAGGGAGGGCCAGCCAGAGGGAGGGATGGAAGCCTCTGAGAGCCTGCAGGCAAGTGGGGCAGGAAAGGCACAGGGCAAGGGTCAGGACCACTTGAGAATGGGTCATGGGACCTGGTGGGAGGAAGAGGCCCTGGCACCCCACCCTAGCTGGGCCTCTCTCTGCAGCTCCTGGCAGAGGACTGGACTGCACCCCAGCTAACCCCCCAGCTAACCCTGTCCCATCCTCTTAGGATACTTACCCACTGGTCTGAAGTAATATCCTGGCTGCTGACCACCACTCCAGCCAGTGTCAGGAGGCTGTGGCACATGTAGCAGACCTGGAGAGAGCGCAGAGAGGGGATGCTCTAATGTGGCCCCTGCCTCTGCGGGTTCCTGGCCCTCAAGACCAGTGGGCCAAGGGTGGAATCTCCCCACTACAGGGGTCCAGCAACAATCTCCAAGAGGACGGATGGCCTGTGTGAACTGGCTTGGGGCCACACCCACTCAGACCTCTGACCGCCAGCAGGCTCTACCAGCATCCCCCCTAGATGAACTGTCCCCTCTTCCTTCAGACAAAGAAGGAATCCAGGATGGGGAGGTACCTCAATAGGGAGTTTGAGACCCCAGGTTCATCCCCAGCACTGCAAAAACAAAACAAAGAGAACAAACAAAAAAGGAATCCCTTCCATCCAGAAACCACCCAAGCCTGTGCTGGGCCTCTAGCAGAGAGGCCAGAGGCACCTCTTCACTTTCATGTCTGCCCGTCAGCTGAAGCACACACACCTGTGGACAGGGTGACCCAAAGTGCCACTAACCCTAAGCAGCTTTGTGCACACAGTGAAGGGGCGCCCTTTGCAGGATGATGCACCTGCACACAGTTCCTGACCAGCACAAACCCGGATGAGGAGCGGGAGCAGGCAGAGGCAGTTTGAGTGGAGCATGTGCACACTTTCCCCACCAGCTCCACCCTTGTTCCTGCTGCTGAACCCTTCAAACTGACCAGAGGACAGTTCGACCCCAAGGCAGTCTGACCCCAGGGCACCTTGGACTCTCTTGGCACCATCCTCTACAAAATGTCTTCCAGGGAGCATCCCAAAAACAAATCAGGCCCCAGGTGAGAGGCAACCTGCTCCTGGCATTCTGGGCTCTTGTCTGTGGGTATGTGCCACCCCCACCCAGAGCTTCCTGCTGCCTTGTCCCCTTCTGCTTCTTACCTCTAAGATAAGCAGGGTGGTTAGAAACCTGTCGCCATGCCTATGGCAGATAAACAGCCCCAGGACAAGCTGGGATGGGAGAGGAGAGTCGGGGTGGCCGGCAGGGCTCCATCCTGGTGACAGTCTGGGCCCTGGCTCCCCTGCCCTCATCAGCCTGCCCAGGTGGTGCCCGAGAAATGGCAGCAGCCTCCTCACACTGACCTAGGAACGTCCCCATAACAGAAGCCAGGAACATAACTGAGGGCACCAACTTGGCACTATGAACAGACTTCCTGAAACTGAATACATGGTACAAAATCCTGAGGACAGAGGCCACTGCAGGGCTCACACAGCAAACCTGCCCAAGACCCAGCTTGGTCAGCTTGGTGGCTAAGGCTACCGGGAACCTGACTCAAGCTGACTAGCCCTGGGGGCCCTGCACCTGGCTGGCCCAGAGACACAGCAGGAAGCCACTGCCCCAGTGGGTGGTACCAAAGCTCCTCAACTCTGCTCCCACCTGCCAAACCCTGACCTTCCTGTGTGCTAGGTGCCCTAGTGCCCAGGCCAGCTGATCACCGGCGAGGTGCCCTTTCGGTGCGCTGGGCCCTGAGGCTCCCTGGGTCCCCTGTATTCCAGCCTGGCCTTGAGAGAGAGGGTTCACTCCATCTAGCCTTTGCAATCCTGGCAAACAGCTAACGGCTCAGACCTGTGCATCTGAATTGTCCCTTGACTAAGGCACAGCCTCATCCACTTGGGAAGGAGGAAACTGCTCCAGAAAGGTAATCATTTAGTCAACCACCACCAAACCTCAGCTTTCCTGTGGACCAGGACAAAGTCCTTCCAGGGTTTTTTTTTTTTTTTTTTTTTTTTGGGGGGGGGTGGGGGAGATACCCTGGGGGTGCAGCTCAGGGGCTTCAGGGAGGAAGTGACTAAGCTCAAGTGGGCCTCCATGTAACAGTAGGATTTGAGGCAAAGATGGCCCTGTGGGGGTGGAGGTGGGCAGATGACAATACCAGACAGATCCTGAGGGCTGATACAAGACACAGAGGGGCACCGGGGACACGTGGCCAGGGCTGAGGGCGGGCCTGGGGTCGAGGCCTTGGAAGGTGGCTGTGCAGGTGGGATGGAAGGGGGACCCAGGGCCCTCTCTGGAGCAGGAATGGCAGGACGAGGGCTTTCATCTGCCTTTTTCCTTTGTCCTTTCTTTTCTCTTGGGGGGTGTTGTGTGGGCGAGCACTCCACTGAGCTCCACCCCCAGTTCGCTTCTTCCCTTAAGAGTATTTCTCTACCATGTGTGTGCTTTACTCATGGAGTCAAAATATAATACAAACTGGTTGTTTTTCTAAAAATTACAAGACACTGCCCACGATAATGTGACTGAAACTCACTGGTCTTGGGGTGGGTGTGGGTAAGGGAGAGACACATGACCTTGAAAAGAAGCTGAGCCTTTCCCTTTTTTGTTGTTGAAACCCAGGATTGAACCCACAGATGTTGAACCTCTAAGGCACATCCCCAGATCCTTTTCATTTTTTATTTAGAGGCAGGGTCTCACTGAGTTGCTGAGGACATTGCTAAATTGCAGAGGTTGGCCTTGAAATTTTGATCCTCCTATCTCAGTCTCCCAAGTCACTGGAATTACAGGTGTGTACCACTAGGCCCGGCTAAGGCCTTTCAAGAGAGCAAAACACTTGGCACTGAGCAAGCTACTGGTGAGGTGGCAGGGAATGACAAAACATCATTGCCCATGGAGCCGTTGGCTAGGGGGATGGCTGTGGGGAAGGGTGTGAAGGCCAAGGAAAAGTACTGAGCAGAGAAGGGGAAAAAGGGGTCTGGAGATCCCATGTCCCTCAGACCTTTCACTTGTAAACACCTTTCACTATCCACAGTGCTGGAAGGCCTGCCCCTGAGTCAGGGGTGGCGGTTTTGCATTAAAAGAGGCGGGGCTGCAGAACTTCTCTGCCTGGGAGCAGGCTTGGGAGGGAGGGCGGGCCTCAGGATCTGAGGAACCCCCTGGAGGAACTCGAGGGGAGGGAAATCTGTCAGCCTGTTAACCCTGTGCAGAGGGAATTTACTGGGAGGAAAAAAGCCAGCGCACGCTGCTCAGAGTTTCACAACTTTGTTTTTATACTGATTCCCATAATCGAATCTGCAGGGAAAGTCCCAGAAAAATGATTGTTTTTTTTTTTTTTTTTGGGGGGGGAATGGGGATTGGGGAACAAGTCCTAGAGAAAAGCCATATCAAACCACATTTTATAAGGTTTCTTCCCCAAGGTGGGGTACCCTGCCTCAGCTTCGAGGCTGGGGCCGGCGCTCCAGGTGCGCCTGGAGTTGGGCCTAAGCCAGGGGAGGCTGCAGTCAGACTCAGTCCCTATTTATTAAAGGGGAAAGTTCCATTGAGGCCAGAAATCATGGCCAAAGCTGAGATCCTCAGGAGTGTTTTGGAAAAAAGGCCTTGGGCTTGAGGTAGAGCACTTACCTAGCACGGATGAAGCCCTAGGTCCATCCCCAGCATTGCAACAAAAAACACAACAATGGGCATGGTGGTTCTGAACATCTGTAATCCCAGCTACTCTGGAGGCTGAGACAGGAAATCTCAAGTTCAAGAACAGCCTGGACAATTTAGGGAGACCCTGTCACAAAATTGAAAGAGGGTGCGGCTGGGGCTGGGGCTCAGCAGTTAACGCACTTGCCTGGCATGTGTGAGGCACTAGGTTTGATTCTCAGCACCGCATATAAATAAATAAATGTCTATCAACAACTAAAAAAAAAAATTAAAAGAGGGTGGGTGCTGGGGAGGTGGCTCAGTGGCAGAGTGCTTACCTAGCATGCCCAAGGCCCTGGGTTCCACCCCTAGCATTGTCCCTCTCTCAACCTTGAAAGGGGTCTGAGTCCATCCAGATAACCTCCCACTCCTGTGTGAAGGTCAGGGAGGCAAACTTTAGCAGGAACTAGGGGCACACAGCAGGCAGAATCTGAGTCTCCTTCTCAAATGCCATTGCTTGGGTGACTGAGGCAGGCCAGGAGCACAGGGCAGGCATGGTGGCCCTCCTGCCAGGGCAGGACAGAATAAGCAGCCAGATGCGAGCACAGAGCCAGGCTTCCTGCTTTGTCACAGTGTGACCAATTCCTGAACTTAGCAAGCCCGCACCTGTCTTGACTGGCACGACGGAGACACCAGGCTTTGTTTTTCTCTTCAAGAACAAAAGAGGGTGGCCAAGGCAGCCCGCCCCCTGCTTTGCCACGATCTCTAGCACTGGGAACACAGGGGTCCCTTCCATGGCTCTGTGAGAGAAGTCAGTGTGGCTCGGGGCAGCCCCCTGAGGGTGGCTAGGCCTGTCCATGCTCCAGGGCTTGTCTGGAGCTGGCCCTGACTGGCTCAGGAACCCAGCTCCTCCCACAGGGGCATGAGTACAGGCTGGGAAGCCCCAACGGGAAAATGGGACCCAGGAAACCTCAGCCAACGCCGTGGGGAGAGACAGAGTCTGGAGAAGCCAGGAACAGGACTAATGGACGTGCCTAGACCCAGTGATGACTGGACGAGGTGGACCGTCCTGCCCATGAGGCCAGGCTTCCTTCCTGGGCTTCTCCCTGGAGCCTGGGGGGGTTCCTCTCAGAGGTTTAGTGCACAGGCCTCATTCGGCCTCTCCTGCCTCCAAGCAGGCCCTGCCCTCCCCCTGGGGAAGGAGGCCCAATGAGTGATGGCGCACAGCCACCAGGCTCGTCACCCAGCAGGGGAAGGGTGACATCTCTGTTCTGCTCCAGCTGGTCTGAGAGTCTCCCAGGTCAAGCGGGGTTCTTCTCTTGCACTTTTGTCTTAATACATGAGGGAAACAGGGTGGACATTTCCCAGGAACTTCATCTTGCAGGAAAGTCCCCTCTAGCTGACGCCAAGGGAGCAGGCTGTGGCCCGTTACTTGCACAGAGCAGGGTGGGTGGGTGGTGCTCCCAGGAGGACTCCTGCTCTAGCCCCGGCAGCATGGTTTCTCCCACCTCAGTTCAAGACCGAGTCTTACCCTGGGCAGGTCTTCAAACCCAGCCTGTTCCCTAGAGGGTGCCAGGACAGGAGGCCTCTGGGAGCAGGTTCCACCAGGCGTTGGTGTAGCTGCTGAGGACAGGGGGGAGCCCTAAAGCTGACCCAGGAACAC